ATATATATATATGAATGTCTGGAAAATATGTTTTGTTTTAGTGAATATTATTTACACAGGTAAAATCTGTCCCCACACCTCCATATCAAATAAGTACACACAAAGGGGGGGGGGGAATCAAAAGTCTTTTGCCTCTGCAGTCAAAAGCCTAAAGAAATCTAATCACAAACACGGATGAGAACACATCCCCGTGGTCATGTGGAAAATGATTACCTGTAACACAGGCCTTCGAAACATCGCTTCTCCGTTTTCTATAACCTAATCTGTAGTCTCCTCCTGAATGGGAAAAGAAAGGTAAATTAATACTCCCTCTTACAGCAACAGCACAAATTCGCTAATCCTACATGCCGAGGTGCATTCCCGATGTGCACGCCGCTCAGCTTATAACGGTAACACATCGCCATTCCTCCATCCGTATCTTTTCGACCCCATCCATCCATCCATCCATCCAAACAACTCCTTATTCTGAGTTATTCCCATTGCCGTCCCACTGTCGTCTCAAGTTTTATTAAAAGGCAAGCCCCCGGTGTGCAGGGATTTTTGTCCAGATTGATCATTCACTGTCAAATCCAATACACGTAAAACAGTTCTAACACAGGGAGGAGGGCTCGATAAACAGGAGTGTCACCAAGAGACTTAAATCTGAAACTTGTTGCTGCAGAATGACGGCCTCCATCCCGGTTGGCGAAGGCTCAAGGGGATTCCTGGGCCGCCGGCCTCACCGCCGGGATGGGCAGGTGCCCTTTCTCCGAGCGGAGCCCCCCACCGACGGCACGGAGGGGCTGGGAGGGGACGGGGAACCGCGGAGTCCCCCCCCACGCGTGGGGACAGAGGGGACAGGCAGCCACAGCACCCCGCCTCCGACCCACGCGGGGCCGCGCGAGCACCCGGCGCAGGGCTCCTACCTTTCTCCCGCCCTCACCGGACGCGCCAGCCCCGGCAGCCCCGAGACAGGAAGTGACTTCCCGACGCAGCCACGACGCAAGACTCGCGAGAGGAAAGAGAAACCGGAAAGAGTCTGGCGTGCGTGGTAGAGATGCTGCCGGCCGTCGCCGCGGGAAACACGCGCCCCCGTCACGCGTTGGTTCCGGGAGCTTTTCTTTCCGGGCGGGGAGCCGAGACGGGAACGCCGCCCGGTGGTGAATGGGGCTGATTTCAAGGTTATAAAATGTAACGAGATTCTTTGATGGGCGCCGCACAGCATAGCTCCGCCTCTGGAAAACACCAGAAAGGTCCAGACCAGCCTAACGCTGAAAGGAAACAAGAGAAAAAAGGAGTGGGACAGACAGGGCTGAGCGCGCCGAGGAAGGAGGCGCCAAAAAATGGGCAATTAAGGTGAATATGTTCATGCGATGTTTAAAGAAGTCCAAGTTGATGCAAAAAATTCGTGCTGAACAGTTAGAATTTTAAAAAAGCAGAGCCATATTGGGTTCTGAAGCACAAGGAAAAATATGCATCCTTGTATTTTTATATATTAAATTTTTTTTTTTTTCCAGAACATTCAATTACTGGAAGAAACATTGACTATTTCAGGTAGGTGTGTTAAAACTCACAATACTGTTTTAAGGTTAAATATTTCATTTATAGCAAAAACAATTTATTATAATTTTACTGTCCCGGCTTTAATGGAGGTAAACTCGTCAATATTTTCTTTTTCTTTTTTTAAAAAACATATCTTTATTGATTTCAGAGAGAGGAAAGGAGGGGGAGAGAGAGAGCTAGAAACATCAATGATGAGAGTCATTGATCGGCTGCCTAGCCTGCAACCCGGGCATGTGCCCTCACCGGGACTCGAACCCCGATCGCCTGGATCCTAGGTGGATGCTCAACCGCTGAGCCATGCCCGGCCGGGCTAGTCAATATTTTCAATACCTAATTCCTATCTATTTCCGATTGCAAAAATTGCTGTGTCTGACAACTTTTTTTGACCAATATTTAAATAATACTTCTAATTAACTTCAGCTTATAGATGCTTGTCTTTATTTAAAATTCTGGTATTTTGTTCATTGTGGATACTTTTTATTAATTTTAGCATTTAAAAAATATTGCATTAAAGTATCAGTCACCTTAATGGCTGGGTTTTTGGGCACCCCTTAAATTTTGCCTCGTTCACCCTGATCTTGGCCCTGGTAATGAAAAGGGGTATGGAACTCCACAGATTGCAGAATGCAGGCTAGAGGGGGTCTCCCCATTATCCTGGCCCCGCTTCTAGAAAAGGAAGGTACCCTCCAGATCCTTCTAACATGCAGATTTCCTCAGGACGCAACTTAAAAACCCTTCAGTGCCCATGCTCGCCCTTGAAGGAAAAAAATATGAACTGCTTACGGTGGTTTCCAACGCACACAGTAACCCATTCCTAAAAGGCCGACTTACTAGTTGGTACTGTTGACGTAGAATGTCCAAACCTATCAAGAACTTTTACAAGTTTATTGAGCCTCACTGATGACATACGCCAGGAAGGAAGATCTCAAATGCTCTGTAGAATGGCAGTTTTGCAGATTTTATAAGTCGTAATTAAAGGAGAAGATTTAAGGAAGGTGCACGAAATCCACTGACAAGATTAAGGAGGTGGCATCAAGCAAGGGGGTGCCGGGAAATCCCTAGGATTGAATAAAAGGCAAATGGAGAAAAATGCTTCTTTTACATAGGTGGGTATAGGATAGTTAATAATTAACATTTCTTGTGCCCTGGTGCTGACCTAAGTTATGTTTTCGAGGCACAGGAAAAGGAAATGACTCTGATGTTTCAAAGTGTGTTATCCTCTGTGCATAGGAACAATGGACAGAACTCACTTAAAGACTGACCTTTGCCAAAGGTCTGGGACACCCAGTGAGGAATTTGTGATCAGACCATCCTGCGGGGTTACTCTCAGTCACTGAGTTTGTGAGGCCTGCGTGCGCCCCCCTCCCACCCAGGGGCTTGTCAGGTTTATTGCACAGCCCCCTTTCCATTCACAGCGTATTTCCAGACGCTTAGCTCCGTGTAGCTTCCACCTTCACAGTGTTTAGTTCCTGAAATGCCAGGCTAACCGATAAAGATTTGAGGCTGTAAAACAAAAGTTTATTTGGGGCCTTAAAGGATTTGGATCCAAACAAGGCAGATTCCGGTAGCAACCCAACTACACTCTGGAGAGAACAAAGGAAGGCAGGGTTTATAAAGGCAGAACCCACGAAATGTAATCCTTCCATGCAGATGACGGATTGCTGACTAGCTTAACAAGGACTGGTTGGTTCCAGGATGCAGATGAGGGGGTGAAAACTATAAGGATAGGAAGGTCCACATATGTCCAGGCAGCAGCTGTTATTCCAGGATGCTTATGGCTGGGCCTCGAGCTGAGTTTAGTAACAGGTTTAGCAACTTAATAGCAGCTCTAAGAACTGAGGCACAAGGTGTCCCTTACCTCCTTAATAGCCTCCTGGCTGTTTTAAGTGACTCCCTTAGCGATGTTTATCCTAATTTATTCTACTGCCTTTAGGCCTTGCACAGATATTAGCCATTCCACATTCCACCCACTAAGTTACCGTCAGTGCCCTTCAGTGATTTACTATTTAAAAATCCTCCTTCCACTTGAGCTGCTGAGTCAAATGAGAAACTAAATTTATCATTTCCTTCAACGGCAGTGTCCCCCTTTCTAAGCTCCTTGCTTGTGTTAATGATACCAAGGTTCTCCCAGAACTGAACGTTGGAATATTCTTTAAAATAATTCTCCCGATCACCTACATCTATCCATCCATACCCAGTCATTTGGCCCTGAAAGTTCTTTCTTCATTATGCCACTGATCTCTCCCTCTTTCTTTGTATTCACAAATACTTTGGGGTGAGAAGCACAGAAAAGGTTGTTTAAAAAAAAAAAAAAGAAGAAAGCACAATGCAAATTGAAAACAGTCCCAGTTCCTTCCACATTCAGCAGTGTCCATGCAGTTACCTGCCCTTTGAGTGACTTCTCGCTCCCGTGGAGCCCAGCAAAAGACAGAGGGAGAGAAACCACTAGTCTGACACCAGATGCATCCAGGTGTCACGGTGGGAACATGGTAGAGAAGGGACCATAGACCCTCATAGTAGGAGCAGTCAATGCCAGAGAAGACAAGTCTACAGAAAATTCTGGTCTATACATTGCATGCTCTTAATAATATACCTGTTTACAAATCACAAATCGTGGTTGACCTTGCACTGTACTGCAAAGGACATGGCTGGGTTGGAAGCAAGAGACAAATCCACTCAGTTTTAATACCTTGAATAAAGACTGGTTTTAAAAATGGCAGTGGGCCATACGGAGCACTCTACCCCACTTAATTGCATGGGAAGAACTGCTAATCCAAGACAGAAGAAAAAAATGGTATGATGGTTTATTCAATTAAAAATAACTTAAAAATTAAGGGAAAAGAAAATAAGGCAGAAAAAAACCCTTACAAACCATTTACAGGCTACCTTTATTACTATGACATCATTATCAAATGCCCTTATGACCAACCTTATTTTATATCATAGGCAGGCCATTAGAAGCTTTTGGGCCTGTGAAGCTGGGCCTCGAAGCCAAGACCTGTCAGTACGAGCCCCCCAAATTCTCTCACCTGTCTACTCGTGAAACGGTTTCCCACATAAATTTCTCACTCTTTGTTCGTTATAGATTACAAAGAAGAGTCCTTTACCCATATTTGGCTTTGGAAGAGATAAAAACCTTTATTTACAAATATTCTATTCCTTTAAAAATATATACAGAGAAAAAGATTTGGATAAAACATGATAAAAATCCCAGGAAGCAAAGCCAAATTCTGATAAAACCAAGGGGAGGTTGGTGACATGCAGAAAATCAATACCAGTCATAACAGCTACAGGAGGGTCAGAGCAAATAGACTGAGGAAGACCAGCCATCAGACTTCCCTTGTACCCTCTACCCAGTATTTCTGTCCCATAACTTAATAGCCAGCTCGGAAATTTCAAGTTATATATCACCTTAGTTCCACCCACCTATTTAATAAACACAGTATCAGAGGAAGAGACGGTCTCCATTCAGAGAGCCTGGTAGGAAAACTAAAGTGGCTGAGAATTCTTTTGCAAATACCATCAGATAACCTGGGAAATATCTGTTGAAATTCAGGTGCATTTTCTTGTAAGCTGTTACCTCAACTCAACAAAATTGTATTTTTTTCCGTGTGCAGGGAGAGCTGCTGGGATCCTCCATAGGAAATTAGCTGGAGCAGCGTCTGTCCGTCGGCTGCACTGAGGGCCGATTCCTTGTCTTCCATCGGCTCGGAGGCCCGTGCTTTCCCGCTGTGTCCAGTGAGTGTGAGAAATCAACTATGGACAGGCGGTGTTAGGAATGTGACAATAGAGAAGAGGGTTGTGCCAGAGACCACTGCTAGTAAAAGGCCTCCATAGCTTTAGGATCTCAGCTATAAATGCTAAATTAGGATGGCTTTTAACGTCTTCGGGTGTTCAAGTTGGTTAATCTTTCCATTTGCAGGAGGTAGTTTGGCACGGTCAATGTGTATTGTGGGTTGGTGTGAAATGAGTTCTTATGGGGAAGACTCCCCCAAGGTGAAGCTTGAAGACTTTGCACTCTTTCCTCCCACCAGGCGTTTGGTGCTTCTTGATCCTGTGGGGGTCCTCAAGACCTCAGGGTCACTATGGCCTTCCTGGAGGTCCTGGGGGTACTGAGCCTGCTGGGCTTCTCTCAGTTCCCTAGCAATGAAAGGAAAAACGTGTGTTACTCCATCCTAAATTAGAGATGATTATGATCAAAACTAACATATAAACAGATGTTTCTTTTTATTTCGGTATTTACAGAAACAAATCTAAGCTATACACAGAATAGAAAATTCGCTCCTGCGATTGTTTTGAAAAATGGCTGGCTCACAGGTGCCACAACACACAGCACGTTCCGTTTCCTAAATCCTGATTGGGGCATAAATGGTCTTTAAAAAAATTTCTTTAAAAAGTGTCATCCTGTGCCCAGAGGGTCATGGGTTCGATTCCCAGTCAGGGTACATGCCAGAGTTTTGGGCTCTATCCCTGGTCATGGTGCGTGTGGGAAGCAACTGATTCATGTTTCTCTCTCTCCCTCTCCCTTTCTCTCTCTAAAAACATATCCTCAGGGGGAGGGACAACTCTACAGTCTGCCTGTGGAAGCACAGCCCATGGCCCATGGGTCAAATCTGGCCGGCTGCCTGTTTCTGTAGATGACGTCTTACTGGAAACCGTGGCCACACCCATTCATGTGTATGTTGCCCATGGCTGCTTTCACGTTACTATAGCAGAGTTGTCATTACAGCAAAAATCACACGGCCCACAAGTATAAAATATTTACTATCTGGCTCTTTATGGAAAACTTGCCAACCCCTGGTCGAGACAGTTTCAAGAAGGCATCTGCCCCATCCCTAGGATGGGTGCCCATTGCTGGTGATGGCTCATGACCGTCACCTGTGCCCGCATAGCTGCCTTCACGAATGTACACGCCACACCTGTTCTGCCCACGGGCCCTTTTCATCTTCTGTATTTTCGACAGCGCACAGTGTGTGGGGTCGTCACTTTGAAGCGCCTTCAGGACGCTGCCCGAATGCCCCGCCTGACCTTTACAGCAGCCCACCCCGTCTAATTAATTCCCATTTGTTGAACGGAGGAATAGGTTAACAAATGAGTGCGCACACGAATTCGAGCCTAGTGACTAGGTCATCAGAATGCTTTCCTTTGGTTTGGAAAAATACCTCTCGCTCTGAACATGTACCAAGAGAAACTACCAGCCTGCCCCTGAAACGGGACGGAATTCTAAAGTAGGTCTCCCACCTTAGCTAGGGTTACCTTGCGTCGGGAGACCATCCACCAGTTTCTTGAACACCTGTTGTGACTCAGAATCCTACTAAATTTTCTTTACCCGTTGTATTTCCTTGTAGCCTTCACTCTGCCTCCTTCGCATTTACTGAATTTCCTCTCTCTCGCTCCCAGAGCCCCAGCCCTGTGCTACCAAGGGCCTCGTGCTCCTACTCTCTTTGTGGGCAGAGACCTATGTGTTATAACCTTGGTTCCACTTGAATCCATAGAGAGACACTGGTCCTATCACTATGAGCAGTGCACGGAGAGGCTCTTTCTCGGCTCCAGGGGCCAAGGTCTACCTTTCCAGCGCGGCCGTCTTCACCCTCTCCAAGTAGAGCTGCCGCTGGAGCTCTTCTGCCTTCCCCAGGGAGGGACGGAGGACTCGACTTCTGGCCAGAGCTGCTGCCGAGGGTCTCTCCCCGGGGTCAGGGTGGATCATGTTCTGATGGCGTAAGGAAACAGGGGCGTCACTGTTGGGGAATCTGCTCACCCAGGCCAGCCCCAAGCCAGCTTCCGCTGGTGGGTTTTGTGAAACCGCCTCTTCTCCGTGCGGAGGGATGGAATCGATGAAAACTTAGCTCCACCGGGACAGGACGTCATCCCTGCCTGGTGGCATCAGCCATCCATACCTCTGACTTGAAGTATCATAGCTGAGAGCTAGCTGGATGATTTAGCTAGTCTAATGCCTTAATTTTAAACAGGAAGAAACTGGGGTCCTGAAATAAAAAATGACGCGCCTAAGTCATTGGCCGGACCAAGACGAAAATCCAGGTTACCCAACTTCTAATTATTCAGCTTACTTTCTACCACAACGTGCTCCTTTTCCACTTAAAATTAATTAAGGACAATATTCCTCTAGCACTTATCTTCAGGTGGCGGGGGGAGGTGTCTATAACCTAAAATGACTTGAATACAGTAGAAAATACGTAATCACATGCAGCAGTTAGCAGTGTCCTATAATGAAGAAGACACTGAGCCCTCCTTCCATCTGGGGAGCAGCGTTCCGAGCCAGCTCCACCACCTACCATGCAGTCCTGAGCAAGCCTCTGAGCTGTGCTGAAGCTCAGTTTCCCTTTCCTGATATCTGGGATAGAAATACTCGCCTTCCCGACTGTTGTGAGAATTAAATGAATTAACAAGTACGTATTACCAGCATCGAGGCACTCAATAATTATCTACTAAATTCAAGGGCGATTTACGCATAAAAATAGGCAATGACGGTACAAGCAAAGGCCACTGTGAGGAAGGGTCTGCCCCCTCCTCTCAGGGAAGCAGAAGTGCAGAAGGACACGCTTGTCACTGAATAGGAAGTTTTCAGGTAAACCGTGAAACTCAAATTTAAGCCCCAAGAGAGCAGATAGTTCTAAGGCTGTTTTGGTGAGCCTAACAGATCCTGTTCCTTAAGCCCTAAAGCAAGCCTTCCATATACATTTTGCATTCTTAGTATAATTCTAAGCTTCTCGACAGTGTAGATTTTTTTCATACCTCTCCGTTTTAATGTAATACCTCCCTTTCCTTGTCCCTACACATACTCAGGTATCATTGAATACGAGTGACACATAGCGTCCTGAATGGACATTTTCTTTCTTCTGATAGCTCAAACGATTGGCGGTATTGTCAATTATTAACTAATTTATACTTTCTTCTATGTACCCAAAATTCAAGGTGGTTGTTTTTTAGTAATAACATCACTGTTACTATTGACAATGGTTAAAACCCCGAAATAGGAGCAAAGAGACCAGGTTTGATTTTGGAGTTAATTGGTTATCAAAGGTGGTGTACAAGTGAAGAAACTGCCATGAGCCTTGGTTTTCTCAACTGTCCACCTCACAGGTTTGTCAAGAAAGACAAATGAAAAAGAATATAACAGGGTTTTTAAACTATAACATAAAAGGTCTTCATGACACTCTCTAAATGTCCTTGAGACGCTGTCACTGTGTCCAGTGACTGCTGGGCTTCCTGGTCACGATTCCCTTTTCCTTCTGTATCAATAGAAGTACCAACATTTCCACTGCCCTTTCCCCAACCTACTTGCCATTACATTTATTTAAAAAATAGATATTTCCATCTTCTCTTCATTCCATACAATATATCACCTTGAGTAGCTTGTAAAATTCTCCCGAGAGCTCCTGAGGGATGCGTGGAAGGTTGCCCTCGCGGATGTGGTGCCACAGGGCACCATTGCTGGGTAAGGACTCCGCTCCGGCGGCCATCGCCATTGTCAGTCCCAAGGCAAATATATCTCCTTTAGGGAGATGCTGAAAATCCTTCAAAACAGAAGACAGGGAGGCCAGTGGTTTTTTTTTGCCAGGTGAAATGAGTCCAGACTAAAATACAACTGGGAAGAAAGGTTCATCGGAGGGCATGAGAGCTTAAACGGGCACAGTGGGCAAGGTGGCATCTTCTACGGTTAGTGGTTTGCTCCTAGGAATGCAGATAGGGCCCAGATCCACCGTGCCAGGCTGACTCTGCAGACACCCTAGAAGGTGGACAATGACTGACGGTCATTTCAGTGACCAGAGCTGGTGTGCCAGCAACAGGATGCGTGATAAAATTGGGCTGGACCAATGAGGTCTCCCTTCCCACTGGGCAACCCGTGGGCTTTGGAATTCTAAGAAGGATTAGAAACAGGGACTTTCACAAGGAACGCCACAAATATCGATTCACCCGTAAATGAGCCAGCTTTCCTCATGCTTTTTGGGGGGGAAATTTCTCTCCTATCTTTGGTCTCCATTCTGAATAGGAAAAGCGCTAATATAAATTTAAATTATAAACGTATACTTTTCATTTTTTTCCATCTGAGGGCCAAAAGGTTCGGTGGATTATAAAATAGCCTCTGTTTGTTTCCCTAATCTATACCTCTTGCAGAATCTCTTTAGCCAAGAAGTAAATGTCTCTAATCTATACCTCTTGCAAAATCTCTTTAGCCAAGAAGTAAATGTCTCCCTCTTCCACTTTGGGGTTGCTTATCGATGTTGCAAGACCCAGGTCTCCTAAAACAGGAAGAAAGAAAAAAAAAGAAATAGAGCCCTTTAAAAGCATGTCTTTCTTAAAACAGGAATAAATGGAGTCATCAGTATAAATGTTATAAGAGAATAGAATACAGGTCAGGGTGTAAGGCAGACTCACCAATTTTATATATCACATTAGCAGAGAGAAACAAATCTGCGTCATTTCCAGTGTCTTCTTGGACTGGAGAGCCACTTTGCACCTGATGGCAAATGAAGATGTTACCTGCAAATACACAGAACTGATATAAATAATCATCCCTAAGCTTTTTCACCCCAAAGATTCTTTTCTGCATCTGCCTTTACAGCCACCCTCCTCTCCCCCTCTTCCCTGTGGCTCTAACAAGAGTCCAGGGCGCCTTTCCTTCCCTGGAGTCTCTCTCTGCTTATGAACGGCTGGCTCGGTGATCGATAAATACCTCGGTGCATGACAGTGACGCCAGACACGACCCCAGCCTCTGAAGAGGCCGGTCGGTGGCCTCACAACAAAGATGCAAGAAGACGACACAATATAGTAACATTTCCTTGAGTTTCACATTGACAAAGGCCAAAGCCGTTCACTTCTGCTCCCTGCAATCCGGTGAATTCAAAAGGGTTTAGCGCCAGTAAACACAGGATGTAGCCAGTATGTTGTTATTGATCCACATAGTAAATTAAATACTTATTTTCATCCTCTGACTTCACTACCTGGGAAAGAGTCTTTTCTTCTTTCTCCATCCCCAGAGGAAGGGAAACAAATGACAGAAAAGGGTTCCGCCAGCCAGCGGCCCCTTTGACACCTGACAGACACACAGACGCGGGTTCTGAGAAGGGCGGGGAAGAAGCGGTGCGGCCGGAGGCCGCGGGGCTACTGACTTGGCTTGATGTCCAGGTGCACCATGCCGGCGTTGTGGATGTACTTGAGCCCCAGGGAAACCTGCAGAAGGATGTCTTTGAGTTTCGGCTCTTCGAAGTGATCGCCGGTCCTTGTGTTTTCAGATATAGCGGCCTGCAAGCTCCCACCTGGGAAAGAACCACCAGGGGTAGCCCCACAGAATGAGAGAAAAGGGACGCATCTTACAGACAAATGCACAGTAATAAATTTCTTGTGAATGATCTCAGTCCAGCCAGTCTAGATTTACTCCAGTGTCAGTGCGAAACGTACTGTCTCCCCTCTGCCTATCCCACAGACGTGTTAGAAAGAATTACGGGGTTTTTAAGGAGGAAAAGAAACTGCCATATCCCAGATATCCAATATGGGGCCCTATTGTCTTGAGTAGGCCCCAATTCACTAATTAAAGCTTTACCTAATTATCAACCAGAAGGCCAATCGGACTTAGTCATAGATCTACTGGTGTGATAATTAATTTTGTGTCGGTATCAATCTAGTAATTATAGGCCGTTAGTAATTTTAATGTAATTGATTCTAAGTTTAATTTCATTAAAAATGTATCGTGAAACATTTAATGATTGCTGGCCCAAGGAAACTATCACACGTCAATATACATCCAAGTGCTATTTGAGCCACAGTTTTGTACCTCAGCTCTAGACTCCTGATTTATCACTATAATCAATAAGTAAGGCCTGGGCTCATCTGACTCCCTGGTCTTGGATGCCCCTGTACTAAGGTATTAGAATGCTTCTGTACCCTTTATTTCATTAATTAGCACTTATTGGGAGCCTCGTCAGTCAAAATTAGAGAGTCCTGTGTCTCCCTGGCAGTTATAAAGCTCACGGTTCCACCCTTTATGTGTATATCAGAACAATAGGATCTCAGACGGTAACAGTATATTTTTTTTAGGAAATCCATATTTAAAGGTATCCTATGTAAAACGGAATTTAAAGATGGATCTGTTGTGTTAAAATAAGTTCAGAAAGGAAAGGACTTCAGTCCCTTTCAGAAACACAAGGAGGGCTAGTGGGGTGTTTTTTTGTTTGTTTTTCTGGGACCCTGTTTAGGAAAGGGTGTATGTACTGCAGATGACGTGAATTAGGAAGAATCAGTAAAGGTGCTGGAGCTTGTTAAAAACAGAGTCACCTCGAGACTCAGTTTGCAGACGAGGCGATGAGGTGTGACAGGAGGGAGGGGCGCGTCCAGGCCCCCATGTCCACTAGAACCCTGGTTTCCTACCAGCCAGGGTGTCCCTTTAGGGCGGCGCTTGCATCTTACCTTCCCTTTCCCAAGGTCTGGCACGTAATTAGTATTTTCTGAACTGAATGTCTATCCTGGCAACCGAGGGAAGAGAAAGGCCTAATCAAGGATCCAGTACCAGGATGGACAGAACAGAGCACCCTGGGGGGAACTTAGAAACCCTTTAATATGTTCTCTTAGATACGCAGAAGTACCTCTAATGCCCTGCAGAGCAACAGGTGCTTAGTGAGGGTAACTAGACCCGTGCCCGCGGCACTTGTAATTACTTGGCTCCGGAGGTGGTAATATGAAAATTAGCCCAGGAACACCGAGCTACAGTAGCACTTACTGAAAACCTCCAGGTATGCTGTACGCAGAGTATTGAACACCCTTGCTTTGCTACAGCTGAAGCCGACTGTCCGCCTCACATACAGGAGCGTAATAAATTGGTATTAAGGGAGGCACGTGTTTATAGACACAGCAACACTGAGTGAACTGCGACCCCCGCCCAGCTGCCGAATTCTCCCCTCCGGGTCAAATAAAGGCACTTTCCCCACTTGGCAGAAACAAAAAAGGGCTTAAGAAAAACATATCTACATTTTCCTGCCTGCTCATGAGGCCTAACAGATACGAAAACGAATACGTAGCGATACTAGCAAACGCCTTCCAACAACAAAGCGTAGCAGGCAGGCCAGCAGCTCGACAGGCCTGGGGTTTAGGTCTCTGCCCGCAACCAACCTACTCTCCTGCCGGCGGACCGTCCCCTGTACCGTCCCCTGTTTGGTGGAAACTATGACCGGTATTCGTGGTGTTCCCCAGAGGACACCGACGTCCGATGTCCCATCCCTGGGGCCATCGTGAGCACCGCTGTTCTAGAGGAGCATGCTCTGTGAAACCTTAGGGACGGGACCACCCAGGAGAATACCGCCTGTCGGGAGAGTCACGGTCCAGTCACGGCATCAGCCTGCTACAGGGACCCCGGGGTGGCTGAGGCTGGCCCACAGGTGACCGACCGGTCGGGGTCGTGGCAAGGGTGAGAGGAGGAGGGAACGTTTCCTTGGTTCGGGGCTCGGAAGGGACAGTTGGGGAAATCTGATGGCTGCTGGTCTCTAGTAGTTATCATCTGAGTTAAAAGCATACCTGTGCATGTCCCAGCCCGACTGCTCCGACAGGCGGGGGCACAGGGCAGGAGATGAAGTAGGGGATCGGGGGCGGGGAGGGAGGAGATGGACCGAGGCACTGGCTACTCTGCTGCCTTAGAGACACCTTGGACTCACCCTTTATTTAGAGCAGGGCTGGGGAAAGTCCAGACCGTGGGCTGCATAAGCCCCGCAAAATCACTTGGGCTGGCCCTGCCAAGGCCTCGCCAAAGAGAGGCAGTTCCAGCCATCACCTTAAACGTCTGACCAAATAAAGCAGGCTAATTCTTAAGTTGATAATTTTGTATGGCCCTCGAATGACGCTAAAAATTTCCAAACGGCCCTTGGCAGAAAAAAGGTTCCCCGCCCCTGATTTAGAGCCACCAGGCAAAGTCTCGCCATGAGCATCCAGAACCACAGACAAGACAAGGCAGAAGGGCGTGCTTTATTTTCCACAGTTAGCTCCCATCTCAAAGCTTCCAAGCGTGGGAATGATGCTCGATAAATCACAGTTACATTTTCCTTGGCAGGTGCTGAGGGTAGAGGAGCACCAGGGCGAACAGAGGGTGGCTCCCCATCATCTCTCACGTCTGGTCCCAGGCCACTGGCTTTCCGGGCTCCCTCTAGCCTTCCCACGCTTGACCTTGCTGGTCTTTCCCACTACAGGGGTCCCCTCAGTCCTGCTGGGCCGCACCCAGGGCCAGTACCACCTCGCCCCGTGCCTGCAGGCCGTCCCCCTAACTGGACGTCTTCCCTCCCCTCCCCTCAACTCTCACAATCCTCCTGCAGGGCCTCCTCCAGGTCTTGCCTCCTGTGGGAGATTCCCTGGGGCTACTCTACTAACGGCTACGGGCTCCTCGCTTTGTGCCGGGTGTTGTCACTGTGCTAGCGCCTGGCCTAGACGCTTGCTAATTCTCAAGCTCCTCCCTGATCTAATTACTACAGTCTCTCTACTGGGTGAGATAGTGGCATCCCAGCGGTCACACAACTAGTGTGCAGCAGGCGGGGTGGCGACCCCAGGCCCTCCCTCCGCTCCGGCTGCCTCTGCCCACATCCCGCTTCTCTGGACGCTTTCTACCCACAGCTGTACCACCCGGCTCTGCCCCTCGCCGTCTCTCGTGTGTTCACGGTTGCAGAGCAAGGGGAACAAAGCTTCTTAAAGGCCTTCCCTTCTCTCACTCTACAGCGTTTCTTACCCTAGAGCCTAATACAGTGTCAACCCGCAGGAGGTATTCAAATGTGGACAAGAATTGAAAGGTGATTTGGAATAGGAACCACTCCATCTTTTTTTTTTTTTTGAAAATCTGAAATCTTTACATTGCCCCAGATCTGTCGTGGTTTTGCTTTATTGAGTACTCTTTGTTATTGGGTATTATTTTGGTTAGTAGCTAAAAGTCNCTTTTTTTTTTTTTTGAAAATCTTTACATTGCCCCAGATCTGTCGTGGTTTTGCTTTCTTGAGTACTCTTTGTTATTGGGTATTATTTTGGTTAGTAGCTAAAAGTCGTAGAAATAAAACCGATGTTCTTGTAGACAGGGAGGAAAGGAAAAGGGAATCTCAGGCCACAATCAGAGGAAATTAGGANCGTGGTTTTGCTTTATTGAGTACTCTTTGTTATTGGGTATTATTTTGGTTAGTAGCTAAAAGTCATAGAAATAAAACCGATGTTCTTGTAGAGAGGGAGGAAAGGAAAAGGGAATCTCAGGCCACAATCAGAGGAAATTAGGAAGAGATTCAGAAAAGGCTCGACCTTCCCACCCCAAGTATAAAGACAGGGCCCATTTTTTATCCCAGAGAGACAGGGATTTGGGGTGAGCTTATTGGAGGGGGGAAAAAAAACCCACAAAGTTNTCCATTTTTTTTATCCCAGAGAGACAGGGATTTGGGGTGAGCTTATTGGAGGGGGGAAAAAAAACCCACAAAGTTCACAGGTGGGGCTACAAAGAAATCAGACTGTAAGGAAAGGAGGAAAGTGCCGCATCATTATTTTACAGGATGTGGACCATTTCCTATGTTACTAGCATTTCATAGTGTTATTACCTGTTTGTATACTGAATAGTTTGTACAGTGATGAAGCTTTATCACTGACCTGGCTGGACACACACACTCGGGGCTCTATGGCGGTTACTAAAATTACTTGCAGACAGGCTGTGCTATTAGAGACTCGGGGTGGGTGTCCACGGAGAGGGGGCGTGTTGGGAAAGAGGGATGCTGTTACCAAGCATCGCGTGCAGAGTATGGATTGCTGCTCCTCAGACGATGCCAAGCTTCTATTCAGTGTGGTGGTATTTTTTTCTACGANCACACACTTGGGGCTCTATGGCGGTTACTAAAATTACTTGCAGACAGGCTGTGCTATTAGAGACTCGGGGTGGGTGTCCACGGAGAGGGGGCGTGTTGGGAAAGAGGGATGCTGTTACCAAGCATCGCGTGCAGAGTATGGATTGCTGCTCCTCAGACGATGCCAAGCTTCTATTCAGTGTGGTGGTATTTTTTTCTACGACACCACTGAACTTTCTGGTGAAAAATATTTCCGAGAACAGTAGTTGTACTGGTTACTGTGTCTGCCCGGCGCCGAAGGGCCTGGGAGAATAGGTCTGGAGTCTCTGGGTTTGAGTGCCAGCACCCACCCCGTGTCCTCAGTCTGGTGAGAACACTGAAGCTCAAAAGGTCGGAGGCAGCCAGAAGCATGAACAATCCCCAGACTCGGGAGTCCACCTGAAAATTCATCAGAAGCTGGCTGTATACATTTACCACCTCCTCCCCCCAAAGCGGCAGGGACTGTGCTTGCATCTTTCAGAATACCTAGCAGATTGGTAAAAGGATGGTTTCCCACTCACACCACTAGGGTCACAGCCCTTGACTTACTATTAAGTCAAGTGTGAAGGGCGTGAGAGCTTCGGTGTGTCAGTCACACATCAGCTCCCACAGAAATAGGTCAGAGCATGAACCTGACACCCCTTTTCCACTCAGCTCATCTCCTGCCACTCTGCTTCCAAGCAAAACTGTAGTGCAGGCATTTTAGCTATGAATCCGCTACACCAGGCAGAAGCTACAAAGAATAGGCCAAGGTGTTTTTTTCTGAAGACTTAAAAGTTCACCTCCCACCCCGGCCTGGGAGCTCAGTCGGTTAGAGCATTGTCGCCCTATGCCAAGGCTTGATCCCCAGTCAAGTCACATACAAGAATCCACCAACGATGCATAAATCGGTGGAACAACAAATCAATGTCTTTTTTTCTCTCTTAACTCAATTTTTCTTGAAGCTCAGCTCCCTCCCCGCAGATAGCAGGCCGCATGCTTACCATTGCAGTACTCATTCTGAATGATCATGTGGTCGTCTTCCACCCACGCAGAATAGTAACGGACCACGTGGGGGTGGTGACCCAGCACCGCGTGAGCGTAAACCTCGTGCAAAGCCGAATTCCTAAGGGAGAGAAGAGCACTGAGAGGAAGGAATCGCGGTCATACGCACGCAAGGTGTTTTTAGAGGGTAAGAGATGACGCGTGATTCACAGGGGCAGCACCCTCGTGGAATGCTCCCTGCTTGCTTACTATTTTATCCCCGGTTTCCATAAACTACGCAGTGAGACGCAGTGGCAAAGATAAAGGCTTTAGAAAGTTCGGCGACTGACCCCCAAGTCAAGCGAGGGATAGTAGTAGACCTCGGACCAGGACCTTGGTCATCTTGATACCAAAGTCCATGGTTTTTCGATTAAACATGGCACAGAGAGGAGGCTTCGGTGGGGCTACCTCAACTGCAGACGGGCTTTGGGTCTTAATTTCACTGCATTGGAATCAAAAAATCTTGATGGGCCCCACGGGAAGGCCTCCATGGACTTGATTATGGATATTGACCTGGGCCCCCGATCTTCTCTATGGAGGCGAGACAAGTCAGGGTCACTAGGAAACTCGGCCAACATGTCGCGGGGACAGTCTTGGAGAGGGATATTTATTGTGGAATAGGAAATCCAACGCAAGAAAAGCAAAATACAGTATTTGGTGAGTTTCAGTATAAAACTGAAGAATTCCAAAATCGATCATTTCAGATTCAGCCTAAGTATTACATCCCCATAGTTCATAAAAGTCATTGGCTAAATCTGAACATGGTTGTTTTCCTTATGGAAAGGACGAACAATTACTTCTGGGAATGAAATTCAAATTTCTGTTAATTTTTTCCTTGCTTGTAAGTCCTTGAAACGTGACTGTTGAATTCATTATTAATACAAAGTAGAGATAAATCAGGGAGTTAACAGTAACTTCCTACTTGGCGCTATTTCTGATGAACTAAGCAGGCGCCATAAGATCAGTCCGTAAATCTATTAATTATTAAAAAGCAGTAAGACCAGTAGCAAAAGCCACAAAAACCACACACACACACACACACACACACATCACAAAATGCCCTGAAATGATCATGGTATATTTTAAGAAATAACCTCTCTCTGATCTGGAAAACTCAGAAAGCTTATACATGTGAGATAACATACAATGGAGGAGGTAGGGTGGTTTTCAAAAAAGCAAATGTTTTTAATAACATCAGTGCTATTACTTAAAACATTTAGCTTTCCAAATCCAAATTTGTGCTTCTGGTACATTTCAAAGGTACTCACTCATTTGATAATTCTGCAAAAGATTTCGTGGAGCGTTTTATGGCATAAACACATCCATCCAGCCTCTTGATGCACTTGTAGACTGTGCCAAACTCCCCAACCCCAATCCTTTCCACCTCCATGAACTCTTTTTCGTAGCGGGAGGTCATGTTGGTTTCTCGTAGAACACATCTCTGAAACATTTTCGTAAAAAACAGTTAAAATAGCCCTTCCGTTAGGGGGGATTCAAACTGAGGCATAGTCTATTCCTACATTTCTCTAAGTTTTCAGAATGACTTGTGGGGCCAATTCATTGGATTCTGCCTGTGTCAATATTCAGGGCAGCGAGAACCTGCCCAGGGGCTGCCTGCCTTCCCTGCACTGTCGCTTCCAGTCTGACCGTACAGTTCTTACCTGTATGTCCCTAGAGGAGACACATCCACTCACAGCCAGAGCTGCGGCCTCAGCTGAAGGAGTGACTGGGACCTGGGTAGAGCATGTTAGGAAAAAACCGAAACAATCTCCCTCTGACACTAGTCTACGTGTCTCACACTCCGGCTGCTAATCATTTTATCCCAGGTTGGATAAACATACTTGTGTTCAATTTGCTTCCTCAAAACTCTTAGTCTGGAACACAAAATTATTGAATTATTTCAGATTCCATGTTCAGGTATAACAGCCACTCCCCCTCTGGGCCAGGTAGCAACATCGTTGATTGCCCAGCTAGTAAATAACCCCCCGGGAAATCGCTCAGCTTCTAATCCATTCTCTCATCTGTAAAATGAGGTTCAGAGCAACTGCTTCTCGGGGTTCTTTTAAATATTACTCAATGAAATGTGTGTGTGTGTGCAATGCCAAACACCTAGTAAATTCTCAGTAAATTGTGGCTCTGATTTCCATAAATTTATATGAATCTCAATCCAAGCTCATTTATCTCCACAAAGACATTTTCCCAGTGTCTCCATGAGCAAAAACTTTTTCATCTAACTTTGAGTTTTGAAAATCCTGACTCTTACTAGCTCTTCATTTTCGACCTCCAACATCAGTCAGCCTTCATCAGCAAGACCTGTGCTTTCCATGGCCCTTAGCCAGCCTNGCAAGAACTTTTTCATCTAACTTTGAGTTTTGAAAATCCTGACTCTTACTAGCTCTTCATTTTCGACCTCCAACATCAGTCAGCCTTCATCAGCAGGACCTGTGCTTTCCATGGCCCTTAGCCAGCCTGGACTTCCTATAGCTACCAGCCCTCTCTCTCCGTCTTCTCAACCAGTAAGAATGATTTTTGCAAAATGACACTGTAGAATCAGACACACTTAACTGTTTCCCACGAGGATCCCAAACTTCTGATCAGAGGCCTCAAGGCCGTCTGCCTCCCCATCATTTCAGACGCCTAATAAGCCAGCTTACCATCCACACCACTCCCCACCCCAACCCCTCCCTTCCTCTTTTGTGCGCTGAACACTGAACATAGCCATGTTTTCATGATAAACATCTTAATGGCAATGTAATATTCCACTGACTTTAAACCATAATTTATTTGCCATTCTATTTTTGGACATTGAGTACTCCCCCTTCTTTTATTTCATTTTTTTTTTCTTTTACAGTTATGGCTGATAAACATTTCTGGTGATAATATTTACAGTATTTTCTTAGGTTAGATTATCAAATGGTCACTCAAAGATTGTGACCATTATAAAAATTTGACATATTTGAGAGTTAAAATTTTACATAGGACCTCTGGTTTCGTGCTATTTTTCTCGGTTCTATTTTTCTACTTTGGGACCTTAGATATCACAGTTTTTCCTTCAACTTTTCTGCCCCATGAGTGTAAAATTTCCCCTTCCCCCCCTCAGATCAAGGATAGAAGCAGTTAGCCTTTAATATAAAAATACCCCAAGACAAAGAATCAGCAACATACATACCAGACAGTGTCTGGTAAAGTAACAACTAGCTAGGCCTGGCCGGGTAGCTCAGTTGGTTAGAGCGTCGTCCCGATATGCTAAGGCTGCGGGTTCGATCCCTGGTCAAGGTACATACAAGAATCAACCAATGACTTTATAAATGAGTAGAACAGCAAGTCGATGTTTCTCTCTCTCCCTTCCTCTATTAAAAAAATAGCTAATAATATAGACCCTAATGAGAGTCCAAATGAATTCAGCTACAAAGCACATTTGCTACAAAGTGTTGGGGGTGGGGGTGGAGAGNGGTGACGAGTATATGGAGGGATTGTGCACTATTCTTACAACCATTCTATAAATTTTAAAGTATTTCAAAATAAAAAGGTTTTAAAAAATAAATAAAGGAAAGAAGGAAGGGAGGGAGGGAAGGAAGGGAGGGAAGGAAGGGAGGAAGGAGTGGGAGAGGAGAAGAGAGAAGAGAGGAAACAAACAGCGGCAGGAGAACCAAATGACTGCTATTGCAGTTGGGCCAAAGAACTGTGCTCACCTTGGCAGGCAGCCCTTGTTCCACCTTGCCTTGCCCTGGATCAGCTTCCTCGCTTTAAAAAAAAAAAAAAAAAAAAATGATATCACCATATGATATATAATTAGCACTTATTGATTCTGGTACTATGCTGGGTTCTGGGGCTGAGAGACTAAATAAGACAATTACTTCGCCTCTTCAGTTTATATTTGGGGACAGGGTAAAACAGGCAATTTCCATATAAGAAGCCAGGACAAGAGCAAGACATCAAGGGATGCCATAGACAACACCCAGTTAATCATCTCAAGAGTAAAAGTCCTTCCCAAAAGGGGGGCCGTGTAAGCTGGGTTCCAAGAATGAGTTGGAACCAGGTAGAGGAAAGGAGCGGTGTTTTAGGCAAATAGAACAACAGCTGCTGAGAACTGGAGGCAGGAAAGCACACAGAACATACGTGCAACCATCCATGGTCTTCA